GAATCTCAAGTGATCCACACTTGGGGTTGGGTATGACTGGCTGATGACGGCTAATAAGCCAGAAATGGCCATTGCGGTCTCCCTTGTCTTTGTCGGCTCCATCTCATCTATGTCTACTACTAGTCGCTGTGCGACTGCCCGCTAGGGTTTAAGTATGAGCCCCAAGGCACAACGGAACGAGCATGTTCTGTAACCTGATCGGTGAGCGCGCATCTGTCATATATATATGTATATATCTGTCAATGTGTTTACTCTCATCGTGCAGTTGATGAGTCCTTGGGAGTAGTTGATTGACCCACCTAAATACCTACCAACTATTCATCGCCATTTGTGAGATAAGCGTAGCCAATACATATCAGTGTTCTGCTCGGTATATAGGTATTCTCTTTAAATTGACTTAAAATACGCCTTTGATAAATAAATTGATCAATTAAGCCGAATTTTAAAAAAACGAAGTCTAGCATTTACAACTTCCATGTATCCAATTATTTGTTAGGAAGTTTAATGAAGCTAGGTACGTCAGAATTAGGATAATGAATGACAATATATAGTTAATTTTACGAATTACTGAAAAAATCCACGAAGTGTTAGTCTCACAAACATCAGCATATTATGCAAGCAGGTAATCTCTCTCGCTTAAGTATTTGATCCAAATCGTAACCCTAACATTAAACCTAACATAAGTTATTATAATATAAACTCTGTGATCGAAGACATTCCTCACTTACTTCGACCCTCTCCCTGAAGTCCTATTTTAACTAGCATTTCAACCCTAAGCCTATCCGCCTGCAATGGTACTTCGCGGAGATCTCGAGGCGGTTGATTGCTCGAGCTATATATCGGCTATTTATTTCTCCTAGACCGTGTATTTCGAGTGGGAGATGGTTCAACATTCTTCTGCTCCTCCCTACCAAACTGGCGCATTTGAAGTAATAATACCAAATTGCGATGGTGGCGCTTTTCAAAGTATGTTTTTGGAACTTAAAGGCGCAAACACACGCCGAAGCCGACAGGCACTGTCAGCATTGTACTCATCGATAATGTTATTGGAAATTTAGATGACGACCATGCCCACCATGCACCCTACAGTAGCGTGGGCGTAGGCATGCTGACCTATATGTGATTCAGCTTATAATGTTGGTATGCTTGCAATGCACTTACTTCACCCTCCCGTACCTTAGACATCTGAACTCGGTGTCAAAACAGCAGCAAAATAATTATGGGCGGGATCGGGCGCGGTGGCTAACAAGGTTGAACGGCCCATGTTCACCAGTCACGCAGGCTTCATCCGCGCAAGTTGAACCAGTTTTTCGCCCAAGCAACGAGACAACGATCGGGCGCGGTGGCCAAAATGGTTGACAAGGCTAGCAAGGCGCGTCACACACGGTTGGTCCGCGCAAGTTGAACCAGGTTTTCACACGAGCAACGGGGCTGGTAGCAGCTCGTATTGCAACTAAGTGAGACAGCCTTGCTCTCTGTTTTGAGAGGCCAACGGATTAATTCCTTTAGTTGACGACATATGATTTTCAAAAGGGTTGTCAGAAGGTTTCTTGTCAGGAATAAATGCTAATTTCCGTGAGGTATCGGTCTCTAGTGTCATACACATTCTCTAATTTCTGTTTTAGGCACCACCCCACCGACCGATCTGTCCCACTTGAACACAAGTGGAAGACAGAACCGAAACACCCCTTCTACACAAGTACCACAAACCACCTGTAACTACAAAAAGAAACAGGTTTAGGCAAAAGTGGAGTGGGCCGTTTGAATTTCATATGCGTTAGAGTGACCTTACAGAGCACATTAGGAAGGGACCGCTGAGCATGATTCACGGTCCAGCAGTCCGCTACTGCACACAATCACACCCAGTACGGACTGCGAGGTCTGAATTGTAATGCCAGCTAGCAACTTCCCAGGCTACAACGCGGAGCGCGTCGTGATACTTTCAGGCACATAAAATGTGTTGTATTGAGGGATGCGCCGAAGCGCCGAGTCGCCAGAGTCGGCCTCATCCTTCCTTTCCTCCCTCGTGCACCAGTCGATTTTCCGAGCCGATAAGCCAACCAGTGTTGAGGTCGGGCGCAGTGTCCTAGATGGTTGAAACGGGCTGACTACGCGGGCCACGCATGACATGTCCCACCCAGTGAGATGAGTCTTACGCATGGAGATCGAGCTAAGGACATGTCCATAACATACATGATAGGTGTCCGCGGCCTGTGCAACTGGCGAGACGCGCTTTTAGCTTTGTTGGCGACGATGCTATTGCCGTCATGAATTGGTGCTCCAATCGTTAGGGCTTTTCTCCATGCCGGTCGGTCCTGAGGGAGGTCATTCCAGGACCCTCTGTGCATTGCACGTCCTTGTGGAATGTCCGCAGTTTGAGCATGTAGAGTCGTTTTTATCCATCTTATCGGTGAGCATCTGTTGCAACGTCGCTGTAGAAGAGTCGACTGGTAAGGCACTCGTCTTCCTTGCAGGGTTGCATTTTCAGCGCAATTACTCAGAATAGCCTGATTGCGGAGGATTCTGGCTTGTTCCAGGCCATTTGTCCCCGGAATCCCATTCTGATCGCTCAGCTTTAGTATTCTTTGGAGACAGCTAAAGCGAATGTGATCCAGATTTCTATCCTGTCTGAAGTGGACGATCCATGTCTTCGTCCCATAGAAGAGTAGTGTCAGGGATGTAGTCATAAACACCTGGAGTTTGGTATACAGATTGCGTCCTAGGGCTATTCCAGAGATCCGGTCAGTCAGTTTGTTGTCGAACCTGACATTCGAAGATGTTTTACAGCCTGGGTTTTTAACATGATTTGGCTGCGTTGTCGGTGATGCGGGGTTCCCTAAAATCCCTGATGATCGTCATTCTGAATTTGGCACAGGCAGCGTCGAAGAGCTCTGTGCTCCTCTACATGACCACTTCTCTCCTTTTGGTAGTGCACGGTTATTCACGACCAGATGGTTGAGCAATGCCTGTCTGGAATACTCGTGCGTGTGCTTGCATGCGCTGTGCGTTGGACAGTTATCAGCTGGGTCGGAAGACGACGTTCATTTCTGGCCCCTCATTACACTGAGCATCCATAAAGGACTACCGAAGCTTGCTTCACACTATTGGTCAATTTAAATGTTTCCTAGATCGTCTCCTGTCATGAAGCTGACGCACCATGTGCCTGGACCGCTCTGCATTATTTTGCAGAGTCCGTCAAGATTCATCATCTGTATAAAGATTTTGCAGCTCCACGGAGGTAGTGCACCTACGGTTTGTTGGAAAGGCAAATTGTGTCGTTGGTTCCACGATATTAACGGAAGGCGTACTTGCTTCTGGGGAGAAATCCGTATTCCAGTTGGGCGATGAGACGATTTCGAAGGTCGCGAACGATGATCTTTCAGGCAACGTTCAGCAGCGAGATTCCCTTGTGATTGTCATAAGGTTGACGGTTGACCTTGCGTTTTTATATATGTGTGTGATGGTGGTGCCCTTAAAGAACTGAGAGACGTGCTGTTGTCGCCACATCTCCAGAAAAACCGATGTGATTTAGTCCATCATCCGAAGATGGCCGTGCTTGTAGATGTTTACTGGCCCTTTTTCGACGCCGGCTCCTGCCTGCAGGAGAGTTAATGCACGACTCTGATTGTTCCTGATGCACGTCTTTGATCATTTTCACCCGAGTCAGCATGTTGGTGTCAGCATCAAAAAGGTCGACTGAGGACGCCTTTGACGAGCTCGGCCCAATGTTTTGGAATTTGCAGTTTCTCTGTGAGAACTGTTGACATTAGGCGCGAAAGCCGTGCCCTATCTTGATTGTGCCGAGGCAGTTCTTCGCTTTGCTGACGTTTGTGTAACCTAGTATTTGTTCAGCATCTCGATACACCCAGTCGTCATGTCTCTCCCGCGGTCGCCGTTTTGCCAAGCGGCGACATCTGAAGAAGTCTGCACTGTCTACGTTAGTTCCGCTGCAGGTTTGTTGCAGCCTATTCATCTTCGGCTAACAGATGTCGAACTTCGTCGTTGTTGCCGAACTAATCATGATATTGGTAGAGTAAGTGTCCGAGGACTTCCAGTGGATGATTTGCCGTATGACGCCTCTACGTCTTCAAGGTTACTTTGTCGTCCGGTTATGCGGTGCTTCCAGGTTTTCGGTCACTCGATTGCTTGTGGTCTCCTGCGGCCGGATAACCAACATGCGACAAGCAACAAATCGTTCGCGGCGTTCGTCATTTCAGTTCTTTTAAAATGCAGTTAACTTAGAACGAATAATTGGCACAAATGTGCAATAGCATACCTACTTTGCTTAGCGCCAGCAGTAGAAGAAACGAAAAAGGTCTGTCGGAAGTGGTGTGGTCGACCGACAAAGGATTTCCAAATTAGATGTCAGGCAAAACCGGTTTGGCTGGAAAACCTTGACTGCTGAGGTAGTGCGTACACGAACTTCGATCTCCAGACAAGCTGTCTCGGTTGTGCCCGCCGTCGAGGCGCTCAGACCCAGCGCGCGTGTGCGCCTTTCGTTGTCTCAGAGTCCGCCAGTCAATCAGAGGAAGGACAGTGTTGACTGGTTTCGAGCACACGCGAGGCTTGTTACTAGCCTCGCGCGTCCCAGCAGCGTATCGACAAGGAGTGTGTGGCGGACGGGAAAGCAGTGTTGCAAAGGCGGAGGGCGAGGAGACGCTGCCTGCCACAGTACCCCTCGGTTAGACCGAAGGCGGCGCATAGCGATGCCGAAGAAACTGTTGATGTCTAAAAAAACATGTGTAACCAAACGGTCAGGAAAATGAACCTGGCGTCCACTACGGGTGATATATACAGGGGGCACAGGACTAGAGTGAATAGGGCTCGCGATTACAGTGTCGTTGGTTAATGAAGGAATAATTTCAGTTGTGGGTTGCGGACATGGGGGCAAAGGAAGTATGCGGGCCTGAGGGGTAGAGGGCAAGTGAGTACAAGGGCGAGGCAGTAGGCACGGTGAATGAGCAGGGGGTAGGGAAGATTGGGAAACAGGGGTTAGGGGGTCAGCAGATTTTTTGTTCTTGTGGCAGGTCCGGCGGCTCCTCTGCAACAGCAGCCTTGACCCGATCGACACTGACCACGTCCTCCTTGTCATTGCAAAGGATCCGGAAGGTCTTGGTGTTGCGCGCGAGCACGCGGAACGGTCCTTCGTATGGTGATTTCAGCGGCTGACGCGCACGGTCACACCGGACGAACACATGAGTACAGTTGTCTAAGTCTTTTTCGACATAAGACTCAGTCATTGGAGTTCGAGGTGGAACCGAGGAAAGCGAGCGCATAAATTGGCGCAAACAGTGCACAAGGTTGTCAGGAGTCTCGTCGACGCCACGAGAGGTTGGGGTGATCATCTCGCATGGCAGTCGGAGGGTAATGCCGAAAACCAATTCAGTTGCGCTACAGCCCAGATCCGAAATCAGAGCTGCGCGGATGCCGAGGAGTGCAAGAGGAAGGTTGTCCGACCAGTTTCCTAGGTCGGCCACAGCACGCAGGGCAGTCTTTAGCTGGCGATGAAAACGCTCAACCATACCGTTGGCAGCTGGGTGGTAGGCCGTCGTCCTAATGATTCTGCAGCCAAGGAAATTGAGTAGCGTTTAAATGAGTGCCGACTCAAACTGGGAACCAAGATCAGTCGTAACCGTGGATGGGGCACCGAACATGGCAACCCAACGACTGTCGAAGGTCTTCACGATGGATTTGGCCTGCTCATTTGGCAAAGGAATAGCTTCAGTCCAGCGGGTATATCGATCGACACAGGTAAGAAGGTGGGTGAAACCATTGGATGGAGGCAAGGGGCCTACAACATCCAGGTGCACATAGTTGAACCGTGCGTCGGGACTGGGGAAAAAGCCTGGTGGGGACGTGTTATGACTCTGCACCTTGTTGCGCTGGCAGCTCAGACACGACCGAACTCAAGCTTTGACGTCCTTGGCCAGACAAATCTTTTCGTGTGGAGTTTTTGAGAGGCTCGGATCCCAGGGTGGGAGAGTCCATGCAAATTTTGAAATACAGCTCGACGCATCGAGGCGGGCACAAAAAACCGTTGAAAGGAGTTGAGACGTCACAAAGTTTGGTAAGTGAACCGGTGGTCAGAGGAACGTCTTTGAGTTGGAGACCAATAATAGACTCGTCGCCAGGACACCCGACTCGCTGTTGCTCATCCGCAATGGCGCAAAGATCGATCACGTGTGAGAGTTGGAGGGAAGACATTGAGGGTCTGGACAGCATATCAGCCACCTCATTTTTCGTGCCATCACTGTGGCGGATTTCGGTTGGGAATTGAGAGATGTAGTCCAGGTGAGCGATTTCCCTTGCAGTGTACTTGTCGGAGTGGGAACGAAGCGCAAAAGTCAATGGTTTGTGATCCGTGAAGACAATGAACTGGTTACGTGTTTCGATTTTCACCGCAGACTTGGAACTAGGGTCAGCAGATTTCAGTAATTCCCAGCAGCGTATCGACAAGGAGTGTGTGTGGCGGACAGGAAAACAGCGTGGCAAAGGTCGAGGGCGAGGAGGCGCGAACTGCCACAGTTTTGCTGTTGACAAAACAACTTATGACGAATACTTAAGGAAATTACTGAAATCCGTTGACCCTACTTCGCAGTCTGCGGTGAAAACCGAAACAAGCGACCAAGTGGTATTTTTTACGTCCTTTTGCAAGGTTTTGGAGCTGTTGATTTACAAATAACAGCCAACCGAATTTGAATGCCATTTTTCTGTAGCACTCACCATCAGACTCACAATCATAGCTGTAACTGCACTCTACTTCAAAGAGTTGAAATGCATCTGCAGACATGAATACTTGCTATACCGTACTGGCCGGTTTCATATTTAAGCTATTCACCTGTCAGAGAATAAAAACCTTTAAAGCACACATCTAACCCGCCTTCAGAAACTGTGTCCTTTTGGGATCGAGTCTGGGCATCAACAATATTAATGCCCTTGCAAAAAATACGGTTATCAGACGCGACACTGAGAAAAGTGTCTTTAATTTTATGCCATAGACAAGGGTGAAACACTTGATAGAAGACGCCTCTAGTAAATGAATTGATTGGCCCTTCCGTGACGACCTGTGTTTAACTAAAATGCACATGCTCAGCTGATTACGCTACCACAATATCATAATCACTTTTGTGCAGGTCTAGAGAAGCCACCTAGCACTAGACCGTAGTTCATCTGTGAATATGGACACTAGTGCACTGTTGTGTTTGCTCTGTGCTCTGTCGTCATGCTCAAGTTGTAAGTCCTGGAGAAATCAAGCGGGCAATAAAGGTATGAACGTTCTGTTTTAAATATAAGTCAGAGTTCCAACAAGTTTAAGCATACAGTGAGTGACCTGTCTCGTGAAATGTTGGCTGAAATTCTGAAATGCGTTTTCCATAAGGAAGGATTACTTGGTCGCGGATGTAATACTGCTTATCTTGTGACATACGGTTATAATATTTTGGACTTGGCAGGATGTCAGCTTTTAAACGCACTTCTTTTCAAACTCCTAAAGAAAGCGTGCTCGGTAAAAAATGACTACGTAAGAAGCATGCGTTTTTCCCGTTGATTTTCGATGGTCTCCGAAATTCAAATATAGTTTACAGAAAACACAATCAAAAATATGCTTTCTTTTAGTCAATTAATAGAAAATCACATCATATATATATTTAAGGAAGGAGTATAAATAGGTTTCAAAAACGTTATCTAATTGCCGAAAAATTGGGAGCCTGATCATTCGTTGCATTAGCGCCTAATGATATCACTCTGCAAGAGAATGCATTCCGCGTAAAGAAAATCACATATTTTTCTATGTCATTAAAGAGATATTATACGGAGATCATAAACGTCTGCAATGGATGCGGATCATGTTGTACATTTCTTGAGGAGCAGTCGTAAACGGCCAGGTACGATGCTATGTGAATAGAAATTTCGCGGTCTTAAAACGTCTCATAATTGGAAACTTTTTAAAACCTAATTATACTCCTTCTCTATATATAAAATATAAAGAAGACGTGATTTTCTGTTGATTGACTAAAAGAAAGCATATTCATGTTTGCGGTTTCTATAAACTATATTTGAATATCCAAGACGATCGAAAATCAATGGGAAAATGCATGCAAATTAAGTAGTCATTTTTTACCAATCACAATTTCTACAGGAGATTGAAAAGTAGTGCATTTGAAAGTTGACATCCTGCGCAGTCACACATATTACAAGAGTATGCCTTAAGATAATCACTATCACAACCGCGACCAAGTAATCCTTCCTAATCGAAAACGCATTTCAGAATTTCAGCCAACATTTCACGAAATGTATTTTTCTCTGAACATCAGTTCATATGCACTAAATTCCGGCATTTTCCTTCTTCAGGTAGGTTTTCAAAAGGTACGTATTAGAGGATAAACCAATGAACGTTGGTTTGTATCGAAGAATACAATTGGCTATTCTGGGTGTATATTGAACATAATACTTTGGCGAAAGTATGCGCCAGATGCATGCTAATTACGTAATTATTTTTTACCGAGCACGCTTTCTACAGGAGTTTGAAAAAGAGTGCATTTAAAAGCTGACATCCTGCCAAGTCCGAAATGTTATAAGAGTATGCCACAAGATAAGCAGTATTACAACCGCGACCAAGTAATCCTTCCTAATTGAAAACGCATTTCAGAATTTCAGCCAACATTTCATAAGACAGGTCACTCACCGTAATATTTTCACTTTTTACCAAGGCAGTGCGGGTTGCCTGTAAATTTGAAACATCCAGTAAAGGAGAATTTGAGAGCCGGGAAATAACAGTAGGTGTGCTAGTCCATGAAATGTTAATCGAAATTCTGAAAGACATTTCCGTTTCCAAAAGATTACTTAAGTAGTCCTGAAAAATCGATCGTCATGCAGCATAATTCTATAATAATCCATTTAACCTAGGATGCCAGCTTTCGAACAAAATCCTTCCCTACAGCATGCAGAATAGGAACTCTGTAAAAAATAAATTCATATGTAGAGGAATTTATTCCCGCTGATTTTTGTTGCTCTTAATCATCCAACTATCTTGCATGGAAATCATGACATTATGCGGCAACAGGCTGTCTAGATATAAACTGCATATTCTCTCGGTTACTCAGAAGAAACGTACAAACATTCGGCATATGTCGCTTACTGTGTGGCCGAAATACCCACGTGCATCATAAGATAATGCATTATCTTGCGAATTTCCCAGCAATGGAGTCTTCTTTCATCTATTTCCTACACATAAATGCAAGACCCAAAAACGGCATTTCTTAAAAAATTGGCTGATTGATAACAAAGCGTGCAAATCGGTTTGAAACTGCTAGTTGTCCTCGCGCATGTCTAGTTGCTGTACAAAACGGGAATTACATTATTCAGGTTTCAACGTGCGATTGCAAAAAATATCAACCGAAACTGTAAAATGCACTTTCAACTAGGAAGGATTACCTAAGCGGAATTTTTGCATTTTTGTGATGCGTCAGACTCAGCGGGATATAACTTTTCAGTATACATGCATTTTACCTACTTAATAATCCAGACTCGGCAAAAACATTACTCGGGTGGTGCGAATTGTTCACATTGACTTTTCATGCCCTTATAAATTCAGATATTTTAGTTGCAAATATGCGCACGAATATTCTTTCCTGTGCTCATTTGATAACAATTGACACTTTCTTCAAAATTTATATTTGAAGAGAAATGTTTCTAATTATGGGATTTTGAAGATCGTGTAGCATCTAATCATACAGCATCGTACCTGCCCATTTACTAAAACATTTCTTGAAGTATACAGCATGGTCCGAATCCACTGCAAGTTTGCGAGGCGTCTACGTAATATATTTTTAAATGTATGGGGAAATATATGTTTTTTCGTATACTAAAATTACACAGACTGCGAACCGAAAGCGCTAAGCGCTAATGTAACGGCAGATTTGATGCAAAATTACTGGTGAATTTAAAAATATTGTTAACTGACAGCCACTCTTTCCTCGAATAGAATATTTCAATAAAATTTAATTCACTACCAACTAAACACAAGAAGCAATATTTTTGCGCATTATTCCGGCAAAAATTTCGAATATTTGAGGACATCGAAAACCAGTGCAAATATTTCGCATACCGAGGTACTCACGTTTTCCGATTGCGATTTTTAAAGCCAGCATCCCGACAGATCCGCCTACCTTGCCGCATGAGAACAAATATAACCACCCCAAATAAGTTATCCTTCCTTGTTGATTATGAATTATCTCAACTTCGGCCCACATTTCATGAGGATATGATGTCGACTATATGTTTGTTTATGAACACCAAATTGTTGTATTAACCATTTTAAGTATTTCTGTCAATGCGAACGCGTCTGCCTGTAGACCGATTATATGTGAAAAACTGTCAGGCGATGGAGTAGGGACCCAGTCACTTAGGTGGCCTAAAGGCAGATTGTAGGGTGACTAGGGCCAAGGTTGGGGTGACGATGTTGGTAAAGGTTGATTTTACTATAAATTAGAACTCTTTGTCTGGCCGTGCCTCCGGCTGTTTT